AATCAAAGGTGGGGTCCTTAAAGGACCCCGATAGTCATGCCACGTGTCATTTCTCTTCCCCTTTATAGCCAAGGTGGCGGATGATTGTCAAGGGACTCAGAGACAGAACTGACCTTGCTTGGGGCCTTTGGACCATGCAGTCTCAAGGTCAAATCAGAATACTCCAATGTCAGTTGTTTTGCATATGTAACTTGTATTCTCAAAACCTGAGGGAGGGATGAGTGGACATCTCTCAGGACCCCAGGCCATTGAGTTGAATGTCAGAAATAATTGCTGGAACACAGCTGCTTTCGCAAAATAGATATATATGACACTGCTCAGGATGTAAAGTGTTCAGCTTGCTACCAAATATCATCTATATCTACGGTAGCAGGCTCTGCCGTGCTCGCACGGCCCTACCGCCTTACAAAGTTCAAAGCCACAGCCACCCCACGCGACAGGTGTGAATGGTTTATGTAAGCTATCTATATCGGTAAGCAATGTCTACTGCCTATTACGGATCGAAGGAGAGCTACTTACCGTGTGAAAATAACGTTGAGAATGAACAGTTCACACGGTGAGGTTCGCAGTCTGAATCATGAACCCCAGTGAAAATCGACAATTTTTAGCTCTATTTAGTTAGTACGGAATCTGCCTTGAGCTATTGCGGTCTGTTGAAGGGCCAGTTTACCGATCGATCGCAAGGATTTCTCAGAAGCCCAACGCAAGACCATGCTGTGGACGCTGGAGGACTGGTCACAGCACGAGAAGATGCTCGGCGCTGCTCGGGAGATGAGCGTTATAGGCCGTGGACGTCCCCCGGCAGGGCAAAACACTAAATTGCTGTTTGTTGTAGATGAGGAGGGTGTACCCCTTGATGGCTATCGTGCTGATGAGATGCGTAAGTATGCCCTTTCCATTTTTCAATCACTTCGGGAAGCCGGGAAGGCACCCCAGAGCTGGGCGAAGAAGGGCTCGTCCGATGTAAAACAAAGGTACTATGATGAAATGTACCGACAGTTCCCGGAGCTCGGGCTATGCGAGGGCAACTGGAAGGCAGAAAAGCTAGCGATCCAGACCTACTTTGGGTTCCACAAGAACCATGTGCGCCTCAAGCTAGCACCCCAAGTTACAGATCCCGAGCCAGCAAGTGCATCCGAGTCCGATGACAGTGGCAAAACCGGACCGGGATCGAGCACTGGGAATACTATGACGGCGTCCTGTAAGCAGTATCTTCTTTTGTTGCATCACGCTCTTACTGCTGTATTCAATAGCCTGTCGCAAGAGAAAGGCTGGTCTCAGGAACATGCAACAGGCTAAGAAGCCCAAGGGGAGGGAGAGCTTACGAATGCGGGACCCTCTGTAAGACTACATCCTTTGGTGCATATCCAGCTGACTGGCTGAGCTCCCTAGGGCCGGGATCTCATTCACGCCGACGGAACCCCTCACTACGGGTACATCGCAGGGGCTGCCTGGTCTTCCTCCTACCACTGGCTTCCCGCAGCTATCAGCTCCTGATCAGATATTCCCAGGACCTCCCCCCCTGCAGTCTTTGGGCGAATCTCCTCTGCCCCCATTACCGCTCGTCAATAATAGCACTACCCGGCCTGTTCCGGCAGAGCTACGTCAGGGTGATGATAGGACGAATGATGGTAACCTGGCGCGAACACCCCCCTCCATGCGACATCCTGTACCGAAGCGGACAATGCTGCAGCGCCAGACCCGACAGCACCGCAGTCCCAGGGTACGGGGGCGAACCTCGAAGGTAACGAACTTATGCTTTCCAACACCAAGCTGTTTTGCTGATCGCAGCTGTTGCAGAGTTGTTTTCTCACCCGCCTTCCGACGTCAGTGCCAACTTGAACCATGCGTCGGCAGGTGCCTCAAACGCCGCACTGCCGCCGTCGCAAGGTCCACACAGTACCGACGCCACAGCACGACAATTAGAGAACACAAGCGGCAACAGCAACGGCGGGGCTATGCCGACGCCAACCGCTGCTAGCGCGGCAAGCAAGGGACGTGCTAAGGGAGCGAACACGAGAGACAAGCCTCTTGAAGTTTCGGATGCAGTGACACCAATGTGAGTTTTGCCCTTCTAATCCCAACTCCCATCATCTAGATACTCAGACCATCTGTATAGGAACCTATGCAAGATCGAATGGCTAGCGAACAATCCGGGCGGAACGAAAGCTGCCTTCAAGAGCTATTGGGGCCCCTTGTCGGATGCTACTATTGCACCCATCCCGGCGGAGTTGATCTTATTATGCTGCTTAGGACTACATTAAACGTGCTAAATCACTAGTAAGAATATGATAACACCCGTCCGTATTCTACTAACCACTTTTGCTATGATAGAAATCAAAGGGCAAGAACAAAGAAAATGTCCCGTCCTGAAGGTAAGTACATCATGCTTCCCTTGTCCGTGGCTGTATTCTAATATGTTAGATAGGCGTGGATGCCGGGCCGGAATGGAGGGAGCACCGGAGAGGAGGGAAGTGGATAGGAACGGGGTTTGTGGTGTGGATAGGACAGCCGTGCGGGGAATTGATAGCAATGGAGGAGAACGGATCGCAGTGGATGGGAATGGATGGGTATTCATAGCAGCGGGGAATAGATAGGCGTTGATGTAAATTGAAGAGAGTGGTTGTGAATAGATCAGTAACATCCAAAAGCCGCCCAACAATGGGGTATCAATAAATTCGAGCTAGGATCATATGACTATTTTGCTCAATTGTTGTCTATTTATTGTGAAATTGTCGCTCCGGAGCTCTGGGAGCTGTCACTCGTGCATAGAAGTAAACAGCTGCTCATCTATTTAAAGGCTCGATTTACTGTTCTCCTCAATTTCGGTCTGCTAGCTGCGCAGAACAGCGGTAAATAGAGTTAAAAATTGTCGATTTTGACTGGGCATGAACTTTCATCGATGACGGTATGCTATAGCATACTTTTATTGCCCTATATTGCTCGATCAGATGTTGGACTGACTATGTAGTCACAGCGTCTCATAGGGGGTTTTGTAGTTGATGTGAGGCTTGCATTGTCTTTGTAGCCACTGCGGCTCATAGCCACTGAGGTCGACTGCCCGTGTAGCCACCGCGGCTCATAGGCAGCACCGTTGTCTCCTTATTATAGATTTTTGTCATCAGTCCCAGACAGTGTAGAGACTAAAGCGACTGTGATTGATAGCCAGTGGAGTCGATCACCTCTTAAGAGTCACGTACAATCCGTGAGCCTACATCGATCATTTTATACCCGATAACCGAGATACATGATACACCAAACATTGTACATGATCCATACTTTCCATACGTACATGATTTTCGACATATTTTTACAGTCGGCTTTTCACATGGAGGACTTAGAATGTATCCATAGGCATAGGGCGGCGCGGAGCACCCAGGCTATACAATTGATCATTAGCATCACATAGCATGACGAGGATATAAGTATATAGGGAACAACTTACCTTGCGATCTCCAGCCGTGATAACATTTGCAGCGGAATTGGCGGTACTTT